CCTGCATCGGCAGGCGGACTCTCAAGCACTGCGCCACCAGGGAAGCCCAAGGTTCGGGTTTCTTAAACTCACTTGGTGTTCACATGGGGCCACAGGAGTGAGATTCTTTGAGCGGACAGAAAGGCTTCCTGTCACCACTGTTACACACCTTTACTAAACTGCCACCTAGTGGCCTTAAAGGCACCCCACAAGAGTTAAAGGACTCGGGAAGGATACGAAAATCTTGCGGACTGGAAGGTTGGTCTACTCACAGACTACACCTGAGTAATCATCTACTGTGATTTACGAGCCAGGGTGTGACCGCCAAAGCAGAGAATCAATCCTGCACGTGCTATTTAACCAGAGAAATACACAACAGTTCCCAGACACTGGTCTGGTTGCTTTAGAGTCACCTGAAGAGCTTGATAAAAATAGACTCCTGGTAGGAGGAACGCTTACCAATACTTATTTTTCTTTTTTAAGCAATGCTTCCAGTGAACACTCTGGGAGTGCAGTGGCCTTAGGACAGAGAATACTCTTGTGTTTGCAGGAGGCAAAAGTTAACTTTCGAGAAAATCAAAATGTCAGACAAGATCATTGACTCTAAACTCTTGTTGCTCAGTAGAGCTCAGCCTCTTCTCTGAGGTTTGTCTGACTCCATGTATAATGCAGGGGGGACTTGAGGTTACTTCATTTCTGTCTAGATGTCAAGTGTGGCGGAATATGGCTCTTGACGAAAGGAAACCCAAAAGCTATGACGGTTGGTGGAGAGAGCTTGAGGGAAAGTGTCTGGATTCCTTGGGGAGATGAGAAACCTTGAGGTTGTGAAGCAGTTTGCTTGAAAGCTGCTTTCTTTAAGAACTTGTCGAGGGCACATTGCTGCAGCAGGTCCTATAAGCGGGAAAGGATATGTACCAACCAGGGCTTCATCCAAGACTTTATGGACTCAGTGCCTCCATCAGGCATGGAACACAGTACATGTGTGACCAGTCCTTGCTGAGTGAATGAACAAAGGGTGAAAGTGCTGGCAATAGCATTGGTGAACTCCGTTCCTGCTCACAGAAAGGCTGGTTCACGTCAACATTCAGTCACTCTCTTCACAGAGGAGGCCGTTTTATTGATATTGCTTACGTCACTCTTTTTTTCTGAACCCAATAGAGTAGGAGCCACAAAAAGTGTCCTGCCTGAATCATCTGGGTGGATTTTAAAACTGGCTGCTCACACCCAGTTCCCCTGCTTCTAGACTAGCTTACCTGAGCCTATGTCAAACCCACAGGCCCCTCTAACCTGCATTCTTAAAATGTATAGGGGAAAGCACCCTGTCTCCAAAAACAGTTGTCAACCCTTTTATGTCTCATTGAAGCCAATCTACCTTACTCTTACCCACTCAAATTTCCACGAATCCTCCAAAGACAGGTGGTGGAAGAAACATGTTTACTTGGTTCTTGAATCAACAAGATTTATCTGAAGTGACATCCTCTAACAAATTTAATTACTCCTATGTATAGCTAACACAATCTTAAAATAGTAGTTATCCTTTTTAGGAAGTTGTGCATAAAGTCACTGGGCTCTCAGACAAATATGCTGAACTTGGCTGTTGACCTGATATAGACTTTAGAACGAGGCCAACTCTTGCCCTTTGGCTTAAAGAGCCATTTTTATTGTCTATTTAAAAAAAAAAATCTAGTCTAATGAATTAGCCAGAATAAGATACCTGCTGAAAAATGTTGAAAATCAAGCAGAACTTAAGTTCTTATTATGTTTTACTTTCAGTTGAAGAGGATACTGGGGAAGGGAGTCTAATGATTAATTTTGTTTAGAAAAGCTTTTGGAACAATCTCATATGCCTCTTGAAATCTAAGGTTGATACTTGGGTTTGTTCTTTTTTCTGACTTAGGGGATTTCCATTGGTCTGCAGATTCTCCTTTTCAGCTTAGCACCTCCTCACAAGGCTTTGTCCTCCCAAGATGGGTGGGCAGAATACAGCTTCACTTGGCCACAGGTCACTTAAAGTTCCTATCTGTACCTCTGAGAAGTAGAAACTAGGTTACAAGGTCATAAACTGACCTGTTTTTTAGAATTCTCCCAGAAGAGATTCTCATTCAGTAAGCCATAAGGTAGTGCTCTTTTCTACTTTACCCACAAGCCTAATTCAGGGAAAAGTTGAAGATTTGTTAATGACCTTGTCCAGAGCTGAGCAACAGGTTGGTGTTCTAGCTCCCCAACCTCTCCTTCATGCCTCACCTTCCTCTCTCTTGGATCCCCGTCTTTTGCTCACAAGGCCAAAATAAAAATGATGCAAAAGTAAAGGGAAGTTGACATGAACCCCTCAAATCACACCACTTATTAATATCTAGCTGGCTTTGGGTGCAGTACACAGAACTTCCAGATCCTGGGAATACAACTCTAACTACTGTGTTCTTTTTTTTAAATTTAAGTAAAGTTGGTTTACAATGTTGTGTTAGTTTCAGGTGTACAGCAAAGTGATTCAGATTATATATATATCACATATATATTTAATCACATAGATATATTATTCTTTTTCAGATTCTTTTCCATTATAGGTTAGCATAAGGTATTGAATATAGTTCCCTGTGCTATACAGTAGGACCCTGTTGTCTATCTATTTTATATATAGTAGTGTGTATCTGTTAATCCCAAGCTCCTATTTTATCCCTCCCCACCCCTTTCCTCTTTGGTAACCATAAGTTTGTTTTCCATGTCTGTGTAACTACCCTGTTCTTAATTTGCTCTGTTCCTTAGGTGTAACCATGTATGCTGTTGGGGGAGGGAAAGCCATTGAGGAAGAACTACAAGAGATTGCCTCTGAGCCCACAGAAGAGCATCTCTTCTATGCCGAAGACTTCAGCACGATGGGCGAGATAAGTGATAAACTACGGAGAGGCATATGTGAAGGTAGTATAGCTTACGTCTAGGAGAGACCTTAGCAAACAGAGCAGCACATGAATGAGAAATTCTCAATCCATTCCTTCAAAGTGCTCAAAAAAGTGCCTCCCTTGTAGGCAGGGCCAGTGATGCCCAGAAACACTAAGCACAAAAAGTGGAATAGGGGAGAGAGAAGACAAAATAATAGCTAACGTTGCTTGAGCACTTGCTCTGTACTGAGCAGTGTGGTAAGTGTTCTGACACACGGCAGAATGCTTAATCCTCACAAAAACCCTATGGAGATGATCACGTAACTAGAAAAAAACCATTATACGAATCAGGAAAGCTGATGCACAATTTTGGGATACACCTGTAACTAGAGTGGAAAGGGATGGTAGTCCTTCCAAGCTCACTGATGAAAATTTACAGGATGCTCTCTTGCATGGACTACTTCTGTTTACAGAACATTAAACTGCCCTTTAGAATTTCTTACGTATAGGAGCCCCTTGTGCTTTTCTCCAGTTCACTATTGTGCCAGGTGTCCTTGCATATAGCAGTTCTGCCCATTTTTCCTTTTACTCCTGTCCCAGCTTCAGTCGCCAGTAAAATCCCAGTCAAAGTGATGTGTCTTATTCCTCCACAGGAAAGAGCACTGGGATGAAAGAGGCCAGGAAGGGAAGGTCTTTCAGAATCCTAAGGCAACTTGATGTTTTGCCTCTAAACTCTTTCATTTAAGCTGAAACGCCTCAAATGGAGCTGCCGCCACTGCAACTTAATCCTTGGACAAACTTAATTTTTTTTCCCATCCTACCTTCTAGACGTAACATTTTTGGGGATATTCTTAAGATGCATTTTAGGGATCGAGGCTTCTCTTACTAGAGGGAACTTCCCTAGAAAGGTCTTAGATTATAGGGGGAACAAGTGCTTTTGTGAATCGGTGGTGTTACCAAATCAAACCAGAACATCCTGGGTGGTGGCAGGTAGGTAAGGAGTTGGTCTGGGACCAGTTTCCTAAAGAACGCATGCGCCTATGTGGACAACTGTCACTCTTTTGGTCATCTTTTACCTCTCAGCTCTGGAAGACTCTGGTGGAAGACGGGATTCCCCAGCAGGGGAACTGCCAAAGAGCGCTCACCAGCCAACAGGTACATTTTTTAAAAGCAGTATTTTTAGAATCTTTGGTCAATACTGGCACCATGGTTTCCTCACAGACAAAAGTTGTTCCATCACACAGGAAACATTTACTCTACACTTTTTTAGCCACAGTTGGTAATAGCCTCTCTGCTGACAGTCTTTCTGCCATAGTGTGTCCCATAATAAAGCTATGTACCCCATTCTAGGAATACCAAGTACCTTACTCTGACAGTTGATGGCTATATTATAACCACAACCATGTTAAACAGGTTTGACTTCAGTTTTCTTTCTCTTTACAGAATCTGAGCCAGTCACCATAAATATCCGAGACATACTTTCCTGTTCTAATTTTGCAGTGCAACACAGATATCTGTTTGAAGAAAACAATCTTGCATGGTCTACACAAAAACTTTTCCATTCGACAAAATCCTCAGGTAATTCCAAGTAAAATATTACTATAGGGTAATTTGCTATCAGCCTCTCAATTTGCCAACAAACTCAGCTTAAGGGAGGACAGGAAAGGAGGAAGTACGAAGTAGGAGAGGGGGAAAGAGAAGAACTTAAGAAAAATGAGAACTAAAAAAATATAAGAAAGTGGAGTAGTCTTCCCGCAGTCCACAATAAAGGCCACTTCCAGCATTGGAAGCACATACAGCCCTTTCCTGGTATTTACTGGATCTGGCTGCATGGAAAAAGTTGAACATTTTTCATTATGGTTTCCTTCATATGCTGATTCAGTCCTACTGTTATGCGTCTGGGAAGTTTGGTGGGTGTAGAGTTGAACACTTTCCATCTGCTTTCTTAGGAAGTCCTTTGGCAGAAAAACACAATCAATGCAAATGTGAAAACCTTATAATGTTCCAGAACCTTGCAAATGAAGAAGTAAGAAAATTAACGCAGCGCTATATCCTTTTCTAATGTTATGCTTCTGTATGGAATGCAAAGAATATTACCACAACTTCAAAAAATTCTATATATGGGTATATATCAAATGAAGTCATTTCCATAAAGTCAAGAACAGTGAACTCCAAGAAAGGCTTTTTCTTAAGCAGACTGATAGGTGCTTGAGAGCCAAGGGCAAGCCAAGCTTCCGGCACAGGTCAAGCATTTAGCTGCTATCTGAGGTTGGTTCTAGGTTTAGCAGTAAGGCCCGTCGGCCAGTCAGTATGCAAGGTAAAGAAAAAACAGACTTATTTAACTCCTCCTCTGCTGGGAGGAAATGAAAGCTATATACCAGATCTGAAGTGCATTAAAGATACAGTGTGTATAGGCAAAGAATTATGTAGAATGAAGAGGTTTCAAAGTCTTTTACCTAAACTCCAAACCCTTCCTTTGGCCCCAAGCCACACCGTGGCCACATTTGGTCAGTGTGTAGGTTCTAGAGAACTGGGGTGGGGTTTTTTTTGTTTGGCAGCAGAGATCTTTTTTATCAGCACTCTAAGATGAAACATTCTACCAAGGGAACAGCAGGATCCAATGATTCATTAAAGCATTACAAATAAAAGGGATGCTTTGGGATAATGGAGAAATGAGGATTCAGTGCTTTTATACACTGAACACCCTGCCAACTGCTCTGAACTTAAAATTATAGTAAGCTTATTAAAGCTGCCTGATATCTAGCTCAACATGCATCAACTAGTCTAAAGGGAAATGGTTTAATTCTGAATTATTTCTGTGCAAATGGGTTTTATGCATACAGCCATTCCCTCTCTGAAAACCAGATATATGCTCCATGAAGTAAAGTAAAATAATCTGACAGCGTTTAATATAGGTGATGAATCCAGGCTCTCATTCGGCCATTGAGGGAGCAGGTGGAGGGTATTAAGAAGCTTCAGGAAGGAAGACAAATGTTTATTGTAATGCTCCTCTGCTCTGCCTTTTCCCAGCCCACCTCTGAGAGTTTACTTCACAATAAGGCAGTTATATAGAAAAGAGACTAGGTTGGGACTTCCCTGGCAGTCCAGTGGTTAAGACTTTGCCTTCCAATGCAGGGGTGCGGGTTCAATCCCTGATCAGGGAGCTAGGATCCCACATGCCTCGCGGCCAAAAACCCAAAACATAAAACAGAAGCAATACTGTAACAAATTCAATAAAGACTTTAGAAATGGTCCACATCCAAGAAAAGAAAAAAATCTTAAAAATCATAAAAAATAAAAGAGCATAGGTCAGAAGTCTTCAAGGCTGCTACACTTTGGTCCTATCATCATTGGTGAAAACTCCCCATCTTTCTTCATCTCTCCTGATGTCATATCTTACTTTCCAAGGCCTAATCCTTTTGTTTTCTTCTCTTCACCTCATTCCCAACATTATCAGTTTGGCTTCAAGAGGTGTGCTATGGCAAATTAATTTATAAGCAACAGGGGTGTGAGTAGAATTAAAATTTTTAATAAGAAAAAATTGAACTATCTGGCTTTAAAGTTAAAAAAAAAAAGTATTTAACCCCATACAGATTTATAGTCTTGATAGCACGTGCTAATGAGTTACTATAAACTTTATAAGTCAGAATTTTAAAATACTTAACAGAAATGGGAAAAAAAAACCCCAAAAGCCTTAGATTTTTCAGGACACAAATTCGTATGTAGATAAATCAAGTTGATTTGAATGTAAATAAATATAGGCCATTCAGATTCCTCTTCCTTAATTTGAGATTTACTAGAAGAAATGACACACAGAATGGAAGCCCTGGAAAATCGCCTGAGATACAGATGAAGATTCAAAATGCTACATGTATTTGTACGTCATTGTATCAAGGATTACAGTGAAACAGTTCAGAGCCCCAAAAGCTCAAGCTATCATTAATTCTGTTAAGGTTGTGAACTAAAACATAACTAGTACTGAGAAAGCTGGTTTGCTATAGAGCAAAGGCAAAAAGTACACACTAACTTGTATAAATTCATTGATAAAAAAAATCTTTCAGAATCCTAAAATGAGTTTATCAAGTGAGAACAAATAAGCTATGCAAGATATTCTTTAATATACTGTGGACATATTTGCTTTTGCCTTGTTCTGCCTTAGTGTTGTAATCTTATTTGACTCCAAAATAAAGTTTGCACAGTCTTACTTCCGTAGAACACTGGCCATGGGAAAACTATTTTTTTTTTTATTGGACTTTACCTTGATATATGTATATGGATGTATACATAAAGTCATAGAACATATGTATCGTGTAACAAGTTAGATTTTTTAATACAATATTAAAATTCACTTCAGAGAATGGTATTGTGTAAAATTCTAAGTTTAACTTTAAATGCAAGGTATGTATACATGAGAAATGGCTAAAATACATATGAAAAAAATGTTGAATCTCACTGATAATCAGGAAAACGCAGGTTAAAACAATCAGCTTGGCAAAAGTTAGCATGTCTGACTATAGCATTGGTAAAGATGTGAAAATACGGGGCTCCTGTACACTGCTGGTGAGAACACAAATGGGCAGTCTCTGGAGTATAATCTATCAATCAACACCTAGTAAAACTGAAAATGCAGCCCTACCCTGCACTCTAGCTACTGCAGTTACAGGTATCTAACTGGATGATTTTAGCCTCCTCGGTAGTGTATGCAGCCTATTGCCTCTACGGGTTGCCCTAAGGGACCTTGGAGACAGCCCTTTCCAGTGTACGTTAATGACTGGCACGCTGTCCCCAATCTAGGCTCCAGACAGGTATGCGCGGTACCTTTGGAAAGCACCAGGGCACAGTGGCCAGGGTCCACATTGGCCAAATCATGTCCGTCAGCACCAAGCTGCAGAACAAGAAGCATATGATTGAGACACTCCGCAAGGCCAAGTTCAAGTTCCCTGGCCGCCAGAAGATCCATATCTCCAAGAAGTGGGGATTTACTAAGTTTAATACAGATGAATTTGAAAACATGGTGGCAGAAAATCGGCTCATCCCGGGGCCTGTGGGGTCAAATACATCCCTAATCGTGGCTCTCTGGACAAATGGCAAGCCCTGCACTCATGAGAGCCTTGGCTCTGTCCCCTCCTTACTCATGGCCACCAATAAATCCTACTTTCTTGTCCAAAAAGAAAGTTACTCGAGTTGATAAAAGTTAACAAATTACAAATAACCTAATCATCCTCTGAGAGGGAACTGATAAATTGTGGCATACCTCAGAAATACTATGCAATATTTAAAAGAAATATATTGGGCTTCCCTGGTGGCACAGTGGTTAAAAATCTGCCTGCCAATGCAGGGGACACAGGTTTGAGCCCTGGTCCGGGAAGATCCTACATGCTGTGGAGCAACTAAGCCCGTGCACCACAACTACTGAACCTGCACTCTAGAGCCCGTGAGCCACACTACTGAAGCCCGCATGCCTAGAGCCCGTGCTCTACAATAAGAGAAGCCACGGCAAGAAAGCTGCGCACAGCAACGAAGAGTAGCCCCCGCTCGCCGCGACTAGAGAAAGCCCGCACGCAGCAACAAAGACCCAATGTAGCCAAAAACAAATGAAAAAATAACATAAATAAAAAATTAAAAGAAATGTATTGTATACATGGTAAAACTCAAAAACAAAGATGAGTTTAAGAAGTCAATGGCAAACTGTTTATCATACCGTTTCGGTAAATGAAAAAAAAAAACAAACTACACTGCTAGTTATTCAAAGATACATAAATATATACATTTAAGTACAAAATATGTTCCAGAAGGATATACACAAGAGTGGTGTTGTCCCTGGGAAAACAAGGAAGTGGGGATTGGGACAGAGTCGAAGGAGACTTCAAATCTATCAGTTCAAGGCACTTACAGGATCAAGAAAATACAAGTGGCAGCTTCTTTAAGAAATGAAGGCCCCACCCCCACCCCCAATGACATCCATCCTATGGAAGCTACTGTATCTTTGAGGCCAAATGATGCTTTTACAAACAAAACACCTTGAATAAGCTTATGTTTAAATACTTCAAGACAAGTGTTCCCATCACAATGTCCTCCCAAAGGGCAGTGTGCTAAACTAGGAAGAACATCTCCTGGGCTACAATCCTATCTGGAAATCACCTAATTCTTTCCAGGTATAAAAGTTGTGATTCAAAGTATTAAACCTTCAGTTTATATTCATATTTGAGTCCTCCGAGTGATCCTGAAAACAGGTTTTCATTAGAAGTGCTGATTTGGGTTGGCATTACCTTTTGAGATGTAATCAGAGTTTAGGCATTGCTTCCAGCTGGCGCAAATCTGTCTTCTGTTGAGTCCTGGCTCCCTCTAGTGGCTCTAGACTGTGTGCACACAAACACACAGCCACCACTCCCACACACTTTAGCTATTAAATACATGTTTCAACTTTCTCCAACTTCGGAAGGAAAATGCCTTCGTGGGAGACAAAACCTCCAACCAGTCCATCATATTTACATATTAATCAAATATTTAACTTGAATATTGTCTAAAATTTGAAATAGTTCTCCATTTTCCTTGTTTTGCTCTTTGTACATCTCAGTTATAAAAGTTTTGCTTTCCAGTTTCATTATTTGTGTGACCTTTCCAAGCCTTGATTTCCTCATCTGTCAAACAGTACTATCTCAGGGCTCTAATCAAGACGGCGGAGTATAAGGACATGGAACTCACCTCCACAAATACACCAAAAATACATCTACCTATGTATTCTCACAGAATACCTACTGAGCACTAGCAGAAGACCTTAAACACCTGAAAGGACAAGAAAGATCTCCCCGTGAACCTGTGTAGGACGAGGCAGGGGGTGGGGGAAGCGGGATGGGACCTGCGCCCCTGGGAAGGAGCTGTGAAGAGGAATCTGCGGCTCAGAGGGGAGCACAACCACGTGCCACCTCTCCGTGCTCCCCAGCCTGAGACGCCCACGCCCGTGGGTACAGGTGGGGGCTGGGTGCTGAAACTTGGGTTTAGAGGACAGAGCTGGGGAGAGGATTGGGGTTGGCCGTGTGGAGACAGCCCAAAGGGGCTGGAGTGCGGTACGGCCGCAAGCAGAGGTGTACACAGAAGCCCAGGCCCACCATAGAAGCAAAGCGCCACTGTTAAGCAGTGCACGAAAGAAGGGGCAGGGCCCAGTGTGGCAGCCTCTTTCCTCTGTGCACCAGCCACTGGCCCAGCGGGCTCTGGGATCAGGTGCTGGAGGCTGTGCAACTTAGGAAGCAGGGCTAAACCTCTCCTCAGGGCTGCATGAGACGCGGGTTTACACCTCCACCTCCAGGTTTGTAAACTCAGCACTACGGGATGTGGAGCAATAAACGGGTGTCCCCATGGCTGGGACAGGTCTGGGCTGCCTCCATAGCTCCCACGGAGGGTCCAGGTGCGAGACTACTGCAGTCCTGGGACCTGACTTCGGTGGATCTGCGCTGGTGGCCTTGTGAAAACACCACCTCAGGGGTACCAGGGCCAGTTGCCAGCACTCCTATGGTCGAGGCAGGACAGATGGCAGTGCCAACAGTGTACTCTGTGAGCCCGCACAAAAGGATGACAGGTTAACAATAGAGTGCACTCCCAGGTAGACAGCTCTGGTGGAGGAATACTCAGTGGCTCTTCTCCCAGTGGGAGCACTTCAATCCCACCTACCTCGCACCGCAGCTCAGAAGCGCAACTCAGAAATGGACCTGGGGGCTTCTACTCCAACAACTAGGGAGCAGATACTGTCCCTGACAGGGTTATAACAACGAAAGAGCAAAAAGAAGGCCCCACTTAACATCCGGTGCAGGCGCTGGTCACACCACCAGTCACACCCCCTTATCAAGGAGATAAGGGCCAGGACACACTGAAGCAGAGGAATGACCCCCAATTAAAATATCGAGAACTCCCATTGAAAGAACAAACAGATCTCTTCAGTCTGATAGACACCAAGTTCAAAAATAGATAATGAAAATACTGAAGGAATTAAGAAAGGCTATCAATAGAAACACAGATTACTGTAAAAAGGAACTAGAAACCCTAAAGAGGAGCCAAGAAAAATTAGAACTCATCTGCAGAGATGAGAGCTAAAGGCAGTGAACAGCAGATTGAATAGGGCAGAAGAACCAAGATAGAATAATAGAAATCACCCAATCAGAAGAGCAGTTGGAAAGCCAAATGAAAAAAAAAAAAAAAGAAGGCAATATAAGAGACCAATGGGATAATATAAAGCGTGAAAATCTATGCATAATAGGAATTCCAGAAGGAGAAGAAAGGGGGGACCGAAAACGTATTTGAAGAAATTATGGCTGAAAACCTCCCAAACCTAGAAAGGAAACAGATATCCAGGTACAGAGGGTCCCAAACAAGATGAACCCAAACAGACCTACACCAAGACATATTATAATTCAACTGGCAAAAGTTAAAGATAAAAAGAGGATTCTAAAGGCAGCAAGAGAAAAACAAAGAGTTAATTACAAGGGAACCCTCTTGCTGATTTCTCTAGAGAGACCTTACAGACCTGAAGGGAGTGGCAAGATATATTCAGTTAAGTCCTGAAAGGGAAAAATATGCAACCTAGGATACTCTACTCAGAAGATTATCATCTAGAATAGGAGAGAGAAAGAATTTCTCTGACAGGCAAAAACGAAAAGAATACAGCAATACTAAACCTATCCTAGGGACTTCCCTGGTGGTCCAGTGGCTAAGACTACACGCTCCCAATGCAGGGGACCGGGTTGGATCCTTTGGTCAGGGAACTAGATCCCACATGCCGCAATGAAGAGTTCGCATGCTGCAACCAAGACCTGGTGCAGCCGAATAAATAAATATTTTTTTTAAATGCTCAAAAAAACCCACTATCCTAAAAGAAATACTGAAAGGTCTTCTCTAAATAGAAAAGAAGCAAGAAGCTATAGGAAAGAGAAAATAAGCCAGTATACAGATTAAAAGAAAAAAAAATTTTGTCAAAGAGTGATAACCACAATGAACAGCAAAAGGACACACATGCAGATGTAAAAGAAGACCTCAAAATCATGAAATGTGGAGGAGAGTAGAACGTAGGGTTTTTCAGAATGTGCCTGAGCATATATGAATACTGTCTAAAGCACGTAAAGGAAGGGGTTAACATACTTGAAAACCAGGGTAACCACAAATCAAACATATAAGAGATTCACAAAAACCAAAAAGAGAACAGGGCTTCCCTGGTGGCGCAGCGGTTAAGAATCCGCCTGCCAACGCAGAGGACACAGGTTCGAGCCCTGGTCTGGGAAGATCCCACGTGCCGCGGAGCAACTAAGCCCGTGTGCCACAACTACTGAGCCTGTGCTCTAGAGCCCATAAGCCTCAACTATTGAGC